AATTTAGACATACAGGAAACAGAAACATCCAAATATTTAGGTATAATTATAGACCAGCACTTAAAATGGGACTGCCATATAATATATATAGCAAAAAAACTTAGATTTCTGATTTATAAATTTTATCTTCTAAAATAATTTCTCAACTAATAATATTATACTACAGTCTAGTATCTAGTAGAATATATACTACCGTATGGAATCTTAGTATGGGGAGGCCTGTATGGAACTACATTAAATCAGTTAAATATTATTCAAAACAAAATCTTGAAGTTAATATATAAAAGAAATAGATTGTGTCCTACCATAACTTTATATAATGAAAAAATTAGCAATATTAAATGTTTATATATTCACGCAGTGTATTGTTTTATACAAAAAATTAATTTTTAAAAAACCCTTTAGAACATAGACATAACACTAGAACTGCATCGAACATGAGCATTAAAGTACCGAAACCAAATAGTGAGTTTTTCAAAAACAGTGTAAATTATCTAGGGACAAAGTTCTATAACGCTCTACCTCTTCATATAAAATTATTAAACAAGTATAAAAAATTCTGTAAAGTTAGCAAAATATACATTTTCCAAAATAATGCAAAGTTTATCAGAATATTCTAAGAATAACGGACTTAATACATGGATTTTTTTTAAATAGTTTTTTTTTTTCTATTTCTTGCATAAATTGTTCAAGTTTTATTTTTTATTTAAAAAAAAAAAATGTTTTTTTTATTTCCTTTATAATTCATTAAATATAATTAAAATAAAATTTTAATTTTTGTCAGCACATACAGGTGTTCTCACTTAGGTGCTTGTTATTATATAATTGGTTTCCATTATTGTACTTTATTGTAACTTATTTATTATTGTAACTTATAACTATTTACACACATATTTACCTATGTAAGTGGTATACAGAGATTAAAGTCCTCGAACGAAAGCTTTCAATGACAAGATATACGAAAAATTTAGCAACAATAGTAGTAAGCGCTAATTCATTAAGGTCGAGTTATATTTAGTGAGATTATTTCTAGAGCCCCAGTTGTAACCTAAATAAATACACAATAAAATAACTTTTATTTACTAAATTTGAAAAAAAAATTAGTTAAAGCTAAAAGTACAATATTAACTTGTACTGTGACAATATTTGACAGTTGGGCCTATTCTGTAACGTTTTAGTTAATTTTAACCCCCAAGAAATATTTTAAATAGATTTTAGACAATTTAATATACCAAATATTTTAAATGTGAGAAGAACTGAGAATTTTTATTTAATTGTTTAAAAGTGGTCGTTACAAAATTATTTAATTTTTGTATATTAGTAAGCAACGAAGCATTTGGATTACCATATTGTATGAACTCGAAATATTTAATATTTTAAATACGTAAGACGAAAAACAAAGGACCCAGGATTGAACTTTCGGGTACACCGATATCATCATGATGTGGAAGAGGTTTCTGATCATTAATTTATTTTAGATATTCTATATCGTTTAACATCTTTTAGAAAAATTTGATCTAAAACTCAAGTTACTAAATTTAATATCCGAGTTACATTTATCGAATCAAAAAACGATCAAAAAAAGGTTAACGAACAGGAAGAAGAATATGAAGAAGGATATAAACGGGCACTCGTACGAAATATTTAAGGAACATAAAGAATGATACACAAAAAAAAAATATTCTAAAGTAGGCCATGACCGACAAAGTGATAACTATGCACGACTCTGAATTGAATTCAATCATAAAAAGAAAAATAGTTGTAATCTCCGACATATGTGAATGTTTCCAATGCCTACTTTAAAAAAATTTAACAATACTTGTAATTAGAAACAAAGTCGAATACACTGAGGACTAGACCAATAACTATGGTATAAGACACCCGACCAGTGATTCATTTGACTGTTTTAATGAACCATTCTATGTTAAATCTCCCCCATTCATTAACATAATCCTAAGAATAGTTTTTTGAATGGCTAATTGCATAAAGGGGCGTAAGATGGAGGTAATTGAAAAAATTATTGTTAGTCTCATTAAACGAGTTTTATTTATATGGAAACTCTAGACATGGCTCAACCTTTTTTAATAATTTCACTGACTCATTTCCTGTTGTTAATTACCATTATCACTTGAATAATTTAATAATAATTGTTCTATTTAAGCTTTGTTTTATAAATTTTTTTGCTGCGGTTTGCAGTTTTATCTGACGTAAGTGCATAGTTCATTTATTTAATTAAAATTTATTGATTATTTAATAGAGAAATTAACTTTATTTATTCTTTGTTAAAAATATAATGGATGTAGAATTAAAGAAATATCACTGTAAAAACGCCTTTTATCATCCTCTTGGTGTTGCAGGAGCGTATTAGGACACCTCCAGGAAATTATTTAGTTTAAAAATAAAAAAATACAATAGCATTAGGGTCGATTTTGATTATTCCAAAATTTGAATTAATTTGTTAAAAAATATCTGCCTGTAATGTGAAAAACTACATAGAAAAGCATTTTAATATTATCCGATACCAAGAAACTCCATAATGAAAAATGAAATTTGTTAAAAATTCCATTTTAAAACTCGAAAATAATTGGTCAAAAAATGTATCGAAATTTTATGTTGTTTTGTTAACTATGCATTAAATAAGCTTGTTTGTACAAATTAAAAAAAGAAGAGAAATATAATTTATAACAAAACCAGGACCGACTTCAAAACTTTTTGTTGGAATAAGAAATAATATTTCATTCATATATCGTAACAATGTAACAGGTGGACATATAATGGGAATATCACTAACAACTAACAACCTAGTTTGTCACTAAATATTTTGATAAAATTAGAAAAATGTGAAACTTTCAATTTTGGAATGAATTTTGTTCTTACACCCAAACATTTTATATATTTGGCTGAGACAGAATTTAAATAAAAACTACTACAACGTTTATTAAAACTATAGCAGCAAAAGCCCTCGAATTCTAAATCTGATTTAATTACAAAAATTATGTCTCGACAAATTGATATCAAAAACACTCAAAATTTAGATCCAATAAAAATAGTCGACTATTTATTAAGATCTCGTTATTAAACCCTTAAATATCAGCAAAATAAAACGTTTACGTTTTAAAAACGAAAATTCACAAATTCAAAAACTAGTCATAAGAGAACTTTGTGTCTATGGACACTTTTTATTGGAGGCCAGAAAATGCAACATACAATATGTTAACCTTGTAATTCTGACTAAAATACAGTATAGAAACACAATGCTATTGAATGAAGAGAAATAGAATAATACGGCGCCGAGTGCGGACCGTAATATTCCATGCTTGCCATCTAAAGGGGTCTCACATCCAAATAAAATTAAGGGTGTAATCATTATTTTTTATGAGGCGTAGCTTAATGTACTGTAAATAAAATTCGATCAGAAGCTATTTGACATATGGAAACTGCGGGGTTCTTTAATTAGAATATTTCAATCTCAATTAAATTTAGATAGGTAGTAAAAATTCAAAATAATTTTAAATGTGCCTATGATTTACGAGTATATTAATAATTTTTTTCGCGTATTTCTTAAGATAACGGAGATTTAGAACTCTATGAGAGATTTGGGCTATGTGTATATTACGAATTAATAAAACATACTTTATACAGTGTGTTCCATAAGGTTGGATCCAGTGGCGGCTCGTGGGGTGGTTCACAATGACAGAATATAAGTATCAGTACAGATGTATGAAAAAACTTTCAGTGTTTTAGGAAGTTTATAATATATCTTTCTAAAACACTGACAGTTTTTTACCGGAATCTATATTCTGCTACTGTGAACCCCCAAAATTTTGGTCACAAGCCGCCCCTGGTTGGATCTATATAATTTTTTTTATTACGAATGGAAAAAACGTCGTAGGGCAAGCGTCTCTATTTATTTAAAAACTTAAAATATCCCATATCAAAGTTGCTAATGACATAATTTTTCTGTAAAATTTGCATTTAAAAATAATTTTTTTCTACGTTCATGCAAAAAACAAAACTTTATTAAACTATATTTAGTGAAGAAACTGGTTCTTTATTGCACTACTGCAATAAAAATTTTATTGCACTCATCTGTCATTTTACTACAGCGTTTTATGATCATAACAAACATAAATATTCAAATCGACGCCCAATATTTAGTACATTTTATATTTTTTGTGAGATTGTATTACGTTTTAAAAACAATTGCATATTTTATATTATTTTCAATCATTTAATAAATAAATTAATAAAAAATGTTAATCGATGCTAATTATTAGTTATTAAATATTTTGTTATTAAATTACGCTTTTTATTCTTCTGCACTTAGTGTTGCCTAAATAAAACATTTTTTGGTTTTTGCATGAACGTAGAAAAAATATTGTATGCAACTCGTGCAAAAAGTGTTTATTGCACTCGACAATTTCACGTCGCGTGCAATAAACACTTACTTTATGCACTTGTTGCATAAATAACTATTTTAGATAGATAACTAATGCAGTACCTAACCAACTATAATATGGGCTATATTGTTTTTAAAAAAGCAGAGTTGAATGTCCAACGACGTTTTTTTTCCAATTGTAATGTTACAAAAATTCCCATATGGATCCAACTTTATGGAACGTACTGTATATCTATATTAAATTAAAATTAACAAATCACAAAACTATAATTATTTGACTTTAGCTATATCATCAAAAACTATAAATCTAAAATGCCCATATCACTGACCCTTGACCCCCTCATTTTTATTTACATTCGAATCTCCCCAAAAATCACCAATACACTTTCAAAACAACAGGTAAAGGTAAATAGGTATACCTAGAAATAATACCTACACCTCCAGGTAAATCCAAGATAGGGTGTCACATCTGCTAAGGCGGCTGTGCTCGTTCAAAAGCATACGGCGTGTGTCTCTTTTCCCATTGGCTGGCGACTCGTGGCTGCAGATGCTTTTATCCCCTCCAACGTTTTTCCGTATACTTTTGTACCCAACGCTTTGACGTTTAGCTTCAGTTTTATACTCGCTCCGAAGGAAGAAGGTATTATCGCGTATTCTTCAGCGTATTACGCTCGTCGCTGTAGGTATTGAAATACTAGTCGTGTTAGGTTAACTTTAGATACTCATGTGTTGCTGATGGAAAAAAGGACTGTTTCTTTTCAATAGAAAAAGCTGTGTGTGTTTTTGATAAACTGTGTCGTTTTGTGACTGATGGGTATAAAGGAAAATAAGTCTTGCCAATGCCACAGTGCTGAAGATAAGGGAGACAACAGTTTTTCGCCTGTCAAAGGAAAAATGAAGGTTTTGAAGAAGATCAAAAGACGTATGGGATTAGGTTAGTCTTTTTTTAACTATTTGTTATTATATTAACACCTTTATATTAAAGCTTACTTACACTAAGTTGCTTTAGAATCATAAATAACATGCTGAATGATTGTTTATTAATAACTTTTAACAAAACTTTAAAAAATTTTCCTAGTTTCTATTAGTGTCAGTGAGTTAAATATTAAAATAAATGTATTGTTATCGTTATCAACTTGATAATATTTTGTTGTTGCTGTTAAACATTATTAGTATTCTGTAAAATTACTATGATGGATATTAGTTTTCCTCGCACATGATTAAATAGGTATCTACTTATTAATTCCTTTGTGAATTGTAAATTCGTTACGGTTGTCACTCTATTAGGTACAAGTTTTCTAGATGCAGTATTTCACGAATATATCTGGTTCCTGAATAGTCTAATATTGCTCTCTAACGTGAAAATTATACTAAAACAGTTCTTGTTTTCCTGTCGAATCCTTTGTTTTTTTTTATTTATATCAAGAACTTTAAATTCATGTAGGTACCTATTTCTCACTTATTATTTTTTTACTTTAGATTTTTAAATTTTTAACCGTTAATGAGAAAAATAAAAGGATTGAACAAACAATATCCACACGTGAAGGGGAATGCACACTTGAATCAATAATAAAGCCGTTAGAATAATTATCCACTTCAGCTTGCACTCTCACTCTATTTTTGAAATAGGTATGATGCGTAAGTATTTTTTTCTGAATTCATCATTTTTAACAATAACAAAGAACATTTTAAACACGTATCTAAGAATTTTTAAAATATAATTTATTTAACACTCATTTAAGTAAAAACAGTAAAATTTCAATTAATTCATAACTGTTGAAATCTGTTATTCTACATGGTGTTTCAAAAACATCACTCGTGAGGTGATTCCCTACCAAAAAATAAGACAAATATATCCTATTAGTATGGGTCCACAGATGCTTTGATTCAAAGATACGAAATGTTACAATTTTACAAGTAAAAATTCCAAAAGAAATTTGGAAAACAACAGTATTTAAAACTATAACAAGCTAATCAAGATAATACTGTCATACTGGTTTTTATTAGTCACTTAAATATGTAACTAATTGTGCTAACAAAAAGTGAAAAAGTCAGTGGCTTTTACGCTCGTTAGCACGCACACACATAGTAAACCTGTTTACATCTTTTTATTGCTAAAATATATGCTTTTATTGTACAGTCCAAATTTAATTCAAGTCGTTAAAGCAGTTTCGGAAGTATTTTGAAAAAAAAAAAAAAAATCTAGGTATATGTTGATAGGAACTACGCTGCGCGTCAGAGAAAACGGGCCACCTAAAAAATTTACGAAATAATTCATCTTTTTAAATATATCTTATTTTTATAACAATAAATCTATTGTGTATTAAGTCAGTAATTGTTTTACCATATTCGATGTTACCATAAGTCACAAACGAAAAGAAAGCAACAAAAATTGAGAAATCATAATTTTATTGAAAAATTACAGTTACAGTTTACTTTGCAATAATAAAATTAAAGAGGCAGTAAATGGTGAGGATCACTTTTCAATATGGCGTATTGCCACCCCGATTATGAATGACACTCCTCATTCGATTTGGTATAGAACTCAGCAAGGTCTGAATGTTTGCTTGAGGAAAACTGGTTCATTCTTCAATAAGGTCCAACCCAAGCTCTTCGCGTGTTTTTCGAACAGGTAAGCGACGTCTTACACGCCTTTTGAGCTGGTCCCAAACACGCTCAATAGGATTAAGATCCGGGTTTAGAAGAGGCCAATCGATTTTGGGAATACCAACCTCTTCAAAGGTATTGTGTTACCATCCTTGCCGTGTGTGGTCGCGCGTTATCCTGCATTAGCAGCAAATCATTGCCAACAAACCCAGCATATGGCATTACATGCTCTTCTAGGATCTCTGTTATGTATCGTCGTGATGTTAATACGCCTCTAGCAATAATAACGAGATCCGTGTGTGCCTCAAAAGAAATTCCTGCTTAAAACATTACTGAGCTACCACCAAAAGCAACTCGAGGTGACCGAGTACAGGCAGCATAACGTTTTCCAGCTCTTCCGTAAACCTTATTTCGGCAATAGTTTCCATATATGCACATTCACACTCATCCGTGAAAAGTAGATTTTTCCAATTGTCCACTGTTCAATTTATATGTTCTCGAGCAAAAGCAAGTCTGTGTGATTTGTGTGCTGCAGTAAGCAAGGGTCCTGTAGCTGAACTGTCAGCTGTCAAACCACTTTCTCTTAACCTTCGCCGAATAGTAGAAGTACTGACTGCCGTTCCATGGGCTTGCTAAAGTCTGCTTTGGAGCAGTCTAACAGTTTGGGTTCGGTCTCGTAAAGCAGCAGTGGTGAGTAAAGCGATCTTTCCTGGCTGTTGGTTTCTTTTTAGCACCTGTACCGGGTTGCCGGTGATAAGAGCCGGTCGCAAGAAACCGTTGGTGTGGTCTTTGCATAGTCGAACGACTGACATTTAATTTTTACGCCACATTCCGTTGACTTGCTCCATTTTTCAATAATGTTACAATCTGAATAGCTCTTCGATATTTTTCATCCATTAAGGATTACATTTTACTCTACGAAGACCAGTGTAGTACAAAAATACCTTTAATACTCTTTAGAACACAGTACAAGTTCATAAAGTTCTCAAAACAGTCACTTTCATGAAACTTAGTTGACGGGTAAAAAAGTATTCTGATAAATTTTTTGGTTTACTCGGTTCCAAAAATTTGTTTATGATCTTTACAGGGTGGCATGACTTCGCAAGTACGCAAACTAACCCGTTTTATGTAAATAAAAAATAAGAAACTTAACAAGATAGATAATTTCGTAAATTTTTTGGGTGGCCCGTTTTCTCTGATGCGCAGTGTATTTGTCTTTTTTTGGGTAAGGAATTACTCCACGAGTGATGACACATATTTTTTGAAACGCCTTGTATGTGATACTTCTGTCACAAAATCGACCACTAAGTACCTGTCTACCCAATAAAATATATTTTTATGACCACTAGGCTTTTACGCTGTTTTATTTTACATCCTTTTCGCCAAAACTCTAACACATATTTTTTGAAACGCATTGGATGTGATACTTCTGTCACAAAATCGATCACTAAGTACCGTCTACCCAATAAAATATATTTTTTATAATCACTAGGCCTTTACGCTGTTTTATTTTACATATTTTTCGCCCAAACTCTAACCTTTCGTCCTTCCAATTTTATTTACAAATAAAATGATAAGTTCGAGATCGACATCACATAATCTTTATATATTATTATACAGAATGCTTTATTAATAATTGCCCCATAATAGGGTAACTGCAGAATCCTTGACTCAAAATATGACGATTTAACCTAAATCACTTCTGACTGAGATATATGAACAATAACAATAAGTTTGCAATCTTACAGAACATGGGGAACTAGGATTGTTGGGTGGTTAAGACAATGTAAAAGTGTTCTATTTCTGTTAAATGATGTTTTTACTAAGGGAATTTGGACATTCATAATTTTTAAACAACGTTTAATAATGTTACATTCATTCTACAATATACAGGGTGATTCATAAGTACTTTGACAAACTTCAGGAAATGATTCTTTGAGTAATTTTAAGGTAAAAAGTTCATATAAATATTTGTCCGGAAATTGATGGTTTTCAAGATACAGGGTGTTGAAGTTTTAAGAAAAAAATCGTTTTTTTATCATATCTTTTATACCACTGAAGATAATTTAATGAAATTTGGTACACGTTGTTTTACCATAAAGTGGCATTTTTTGATGCTATTAACTTTTTTTTATTTTCATCAGTGGCGTCCCTACGGTATTTAAACTATCTCTTTGTATGAAAAAGATATATGTTAACCTAAATCCTACGTAGGAGGAAGAATTTCACTTATCTAAATTCTACGCTACTTGCAGAATCATAGTTTTTGTATTATTTTTCCGTTTTCCAATATTTTCTTCTTAAATAAAGTAACTTTATTTCATTGCAAATAAAATGAGTTTATTACTATAAGTTATTACAAGTTATTTGCGTTTAAAAAATACAACATCTCGATTATATTGTTTATTTTTTACAAATGCAAATATTTTGAGTTATTTTAGCCATTTAATCGATTTAATACCTATTCTGCGTCTGTCTAAACTATCATAATCTTGCTTTGTTGGTGGCTTTTTTATAATAGGTACCTATACCTAATTAACATGCTCAATGATTATTACATCTGGCTGGCAAATTGAACTTCTACCTGTACATAATACTCATAAGCGAGTCGTTGTTTATTCCGATCTATACCGTACACATCATGGCAGCAATTTAAAATACATTTAGATATAAAAATGGGGCCGAAAAGGCTCATAAAGTATTCCATACATGCTTACTCGATGCTTGATGTTAACTTCTTACAATTAATATCAGTCTCGTGGTATACAACGTCAAATAGGCTTTGAAGACGGTCTACTTAAGGTTGTCTTTCGATTGTTCTTCGTGACGTTATTTTCACGTTAACTACTTACGCACGACTTCGGTGTGTTCCCACGGTAGCGGTACGATGTTGCCGTTTACTCGCAGATAACTAAGTTTGACACGGGTATCTTTTTTAAACGAAGCAATTTTTTCCGACTAAATACCGGTGTTATGGATGGTTATAATGTTGCCTTTACTGTTATTGTAACATTTACAATAACTGTTTGACAAAATTTTAACATTTTTATAATAGGATGTCCGAAAAGAAGACCAGGATTTCTTTCACAGCTTACTTGCGTTGAAAGTTATTAATTAACTGTGATAAATCATTTCTAACGGCATCCTTCCTAAATATCTAGCTAAACTTCAAAATCTTACCTAGATAATAAATATAATAATTTAACATAGTAGTTACCACTGACTTCAGTGAGGTTAAGAATTGTAATTTTTAAGAATTTCATAGTAGTGTGATTTAATTTAATTAAAATATTTAAATTATGGCTGAAATATCATAAAATATAAAAA